CATGCAGGTTCTAAGACAGATACAGCTATATGACAAGTGCGGTTGTGCCAATGAATATTTCTAATTTTTCAAAGTCTTGTCGGTTGGTTAAATGTTAACTTTCATTTACTGTCACAGCATTCTTCATCTTGCACCTTTCTGTCTGCCTGAGCATTAAAAGAATTGATCGGTTTCTAAATCACAGTGCCCGGCCCAGTTGTTGATGGATGTCGCACTGGCTTTGTTACTGCAGATGACAAATCGCAGAGCAGCAGCAGCTCAAAGGATTTGTTTAGTGTTCCAGAGCCGATGTGTTTTGAGAAGTATTAATGGAGGCATGAAATATTACCTGCAGGTTCAGTCAGGAATTCATGTCAAAACTGGAGTGGGCCTGTGAGGTGAAGCCCTGTCATCACGACACTCGTAAGCCTCATCTCACGCCTCAAAACCACACAATGAGCTGCAATTTTCTGCTTTGACACTCAGTGAACCGAGAAATGTGTGTTTAGTAGCATCTTTGTAAATCAATTAGCAGTATGCAAATTTCCATGACAACACCATTTAAAACAATTTCTCTGTGACCTAGAATTTTTATGTAGCTGGTTTCATTAACCAAGGGCAGAAAGTATATCTAGTTTTACTGCTGTTACTTCTATGAAGCAATATCACATTGTAAATGAATATTCATGATTTAATAAGAGTAATTAAGAAACTATTATTAAAATATTTAAGAAAATAGCTAGCATTTAGCAGGTCAAGTAAACATATGAAGCATCCATTATGTCTTTCATCTATTAGTCCATTTGATTTGGGGAGTCTTGCTTCCCGTGGCAGTGACGTTCTTTTGTGGCTGCTGGGAATTACAGTAATTCAGTGTGTCTCTGCTTGATGGATGACACTACACTCATTGAGCAATCACTCCCTGATGCACTATTATTCTTTCTCATTTTTGTGTGGGAGCAAACTTCATGCATTCCTGAGCCAAAACCAACTCAGATAATTATCTCATTTGCATGATCTTCACTCTATGGAAGATAAGCCACCAGATGACTGTATCAGTGATGTTACTTGTTGGGCCTGTCAGTGACACCTACTGCATCCTCGACCCAAATCACCCCTAGCTGAATGTAGTTGCCACAGCTCTTTCTAACACCCTTATTGTTTCAGCTTTATAGTCTTCTTATATAATGCCCGCAACAAAAGCCAACTTCCATTGTTGTTAAAATACTACACCTGATGCCATATCTGTACAGTAACAAAACTAGGCAATGAGTCACAGTATAAAATCTGTGGGATCTTTCACAGTGTCGTTTTAATTCCTATTTCCACAGTTAGCCTTTATATTGTGTCTTGGTACAGAATGCGTTTGTGGGGAATAGCGGTCTGTTAACGTATATGTAAGAGTGAGACTTAACGGCTGTGCTCCAGGCACTCCTTTCCCATTAGCACTTGTGCCTAGCTAAATGTGTTTGTGTACCTGTGAGGCACAAAATGACAAGCCCTGTCAGTACCATTGTGCTTCAGAAACAAAAGAACCTTGAAATAATGGAATCTCTCAATGTGTCACTCACTCAGGGATAGCAAAGCCGTGAACATCAACCAGATGGCAGGTCACTTGTTTACCCTTGCTTCTTGCAGTTGGGTGAGTGGGGTGCCTGTTGAGGCTGAACCAGGCAACTCGGCAGCATCATCCCCTCGCTTTGCCCTCACCATGCTCAGTGACTATACATCAGAGGCTATGGTGGGGTGTGAAGTCCTCCCGGGTTGACTGCTGCCACACTCGGTGATTATACAGTAGTATGTGATGACAGCTGGAGTAGAAGAGCATAATGCACTGTAGCACAGTGGAGTGGGGATCTGCCTCTGAGTGGTGTTACATATTTAGTGTTTTAAGGCCTTGACACAAAGACAGTTCTGTGATATGTCACCATTAAATCTGGATCATAATAAATGACAGTTGCGCTTAGAGCTGACGTTATGTAACGGTAAACTGTCCTACTTATTGCACAGCTGAAGCTGAAGACAATCAGCTTCCAAAATATCAGCAATTACAATAATTTCTCCACTAAGTCTTAATATATCGAAACGCAGTGCAGCAACAGGTTGCGTCTTTTGTGAACCTGCTATGTGTTACATAAATACACGGTTTTCTCTCTGCAGCTTAATTTGAGTGACAAGGTGCACAGAACTGCATTGTTATCTATTGACTCACTTTTTCTTCATTGGAAAAAACTTTCACTGTTGCTCTTTTCACCTTTTGCATGTACTGCACAAAGAATCCTTGAGACTGAGAGTAGTCAAGCATTCTGGGAAATCACCAACAAAAGTAGTAGTAAAGAACAAATCAACACCAAATTACCTCCAAATTGTATTATTCGTCACATAGAGGTTACATTATCTAAAGGCTATCTGATGGTGAACTGCTTCTTTAAAGCCTCAGCTAGTGTCAGCAGTGACTTATGTCAACATAGAAAATAAACCAAACCACACTTTGATTTCTCTGAATATTTTTTAAGTACGTTTTCCAGTAAAACTCCTGTTTGACAACATCAGTGGAAATGGAGTGTAGCATCATACAAAGTCATACAAAGGTCAGTTTAGGGTTCCTATTTTAGGGTTTCCTCAAACCCCTGCAGCCTATTGTCTCATCTTCCATCAGGTTATGACATCTTGTCTGCTTGGGCGTTAGACCAGTGCTAAAATAAACACACTTTTTTCTTTTATTCTTGTCTATCAGCAACTGCCATCTTGGAGGTAAAACTTGTATTGCAAGATGACGTCATATATTAAAACAGTAGTCCTTTGTGACACCAAAAATTCTGACAGCCTGAGAACTGGTTATACAGTACACACTTGAACATGGTAAACTAATCACTGTATCTGAAAATAGCATAGAAGATGCCCCTGCCACTTGCAAGGTGACACACATAGAAGTTGCAGTTTGAATAGCATTGTAGAAGTTCTCCTTTTTCCCAGGCTCTGCTCTCCCACCACTAGATCACCTGTTGGAGCATGTTCATTCACTTCCCAGCATCTCTGTGTTTGCACAGGCTGATCAAGCAGGCAGGTTTGGTTTCATCATGTAATCTGATTACCTCCTGAAAGATTTGATGTGACTCATCTTGACTGCTGGCCTACAAGTCACGGTGCCTGAAATGATGCATCCAAAACAGCCTTGTAATTACCTTTTTAGTACAGCATCATTAATAATCATAGTCAGGCCAATTGAGCCATGACAGATGGAATTTTGTTGGCCTCTTTTCTGCTACTAGCTTGGTTCAGTAGTTGTTGCAACTGTAGATAAAGTAATTTTTCTATGGTATTTTACTTAATAATTGCTTCCCTGGAAAAACCCCGTAAGACACGATCTTCTATAGACAATATGTTTAATTGAGCTAGTTCGAAAGAGCCCATATTGCACAGCAGCTGTGTACACACACACAGTGGAATCTGCAAGGAAAGCCCTCCGAGCACCAGTAAAGGGATGCAGTGAGAATGGGCCCCAGTGCCAAAGCAGTGGATTTTGAACACAGATGCACATAGTTAACGTGTGTGTGTGAAACTCAGTCCCACACTTATCATTGGTTTTCCAGCTGCTGGAACATTGCTGATGGTCTGTGTTTGCATAGATGATATGGTTGGTGGCTCTAACCCATCAGAATTTTAGGAATCAGGGAGTACATCTCAATTCTCTTTTTCATCATTCCTCGAGCCTTGCTTAACCTTGATGTCATTCCACTTCTTAATCTTGAATGCTGTCCTGAACCTCTTATTTCTGCTCTGAGCATCAAGGAGTAGAGAGCAAGGACATACAAGACCATCCTTCACAAACGTCTTTAATAAGTGGACTGACACGTGTCCTTATTTCAAATCTGATTGGACACACACTGTGGATTGGCTGATTTCATCCCAGCATAAATTACAATGTAGGTTTTTTTTTTTTTTTTTACATGTGCAGATGTTTGTCAAACTGAAACATTTTCAAACAGACTAAAAAAAAAAAAACCTGTGACGAGGGGTAACCTTACATAATTACTATTTGGACAGTGTGAATATGAGCAAACTGAATTTGTACGGTCTTTTTCCTCTTATCATTAAACCAAACCCGACCTGGACCCGAACATTATTTATAAAGGTCTGTCCAAACCCTCAGGTACCGATGGGTCTCATCAGGCTCGGTTCGGTATCCACGCTCTAGTCAGGATTTAGTAAACCTGGAGACCACTCAGTGAAACAGTATTGGAGATTAGAGCTACTTTAGCTTATAAAGAACACAGGTGTTGCTTTCAAGCAGCATCTGCTGATGTCAACTAAAAGAAAAAGATCTCAGAAGAATGATTTGGGTCTGCCCTGCTTCCACTGGGCCAGGACAGGTTGCCATTATCAGGAGTGGCACAAGACTTCTCATGTTTATCAAGGTGTCTTACATGATGTGAGTCCACACTTCAGAAGGTCAGAGTTATTTTAACAGTAATGTTTTGATTCATTAATGTATGTGGCTCTGATCCTCAAGCATTTTAACAGAAAAGTACAGAAGTACAGTACTGAGTGACAGTGAGGTACCTACAAAACGTGTTCTAGTCAACTTCTATTTAACCTTGTTTCATCACTGATTAAGAAGTACTCAAAGGCATTATGTTTTCATTCATTACTGAACAGAGGGCTGCGATCACTGTGTTTCTGAGGCTTTAGTATCTCTGTCCTTACTATTAGCAATCTCCGCTAGCCTTACTAACTTGAAGGACAAGACTCAAGCAGCCAATCACTGTTTTTGGGGCGTCCAGGTGGCTGTAGCCACTGTATCACTGACATTCCATTTTGAGGAGACTCTGGAGCTTTGCTGTAGCCCCATAATGCACAAATACTTTATAAATTAAGCTTTTTGATTAAATATTTATGTCGGTACTAGTGCTTTCACAACATCAAAGATTGATTGAATTGTCCTGAAAACTCAAACCCGCCTCAGTGTCGGTGCTTATTAAAGTACAATGTAACTTATCCTGGCTGTTTTTACTTCTTAGGTCTGGTAGAGATCTGCTTGATGCATCCCCTCGATGTGGTGAAGACAAGGTAAGCCACACATTTAACCATCTTTTGTGTAACTTTATGTAAGGTATATGGAAGCTGTTTTAGTCCACATCTGCCTTGAATCCCCTTGGTGGGTATTTGGGTCTGTGTAGTGATGTTCCGAGCATACCAGGTCTCTTTTCCCAGCTCAGCAGCCTGGCCAACTCTGCACTTATTCTCCACAGAAAGGAATACTAATGCCAAGAGACTTAGACATTTTGTGGAAAATGAAATGCATCATTTATGCATTCATTTCCCAATCAATGTGAGCATTAGATGTTTTATGATCTCAAATCATTCAAATGTTTTACCTTGTTACTTAATTTAAGGAAAAAGAATTGAACCTTTTTCTTCTTCTTCTTTCCTTCTCGAGAAAGACATTCACTGTGTTTTTTGTTACCATCTCCCATTTGTGTCTGATACAAGAGCACCAGCATGCTTGGGCTGTAGTGGTCAGCCCTCACGACTGTCTCAGCCAGCCACAAACGGGTCATGGGCTACTGCTTACGCTTTACAGGCTTTCACAGTCTTGTTCTCAACCCCCCCTGCTCCATTCAGTACTTGTCGGTAAATTGTAATGCCTTTTTCTGTCATTTACGGCAGCACTCTCTTGGTAAATCAATTTCCTGGTGTGCCTCTTTAAAAAAATTAGGTGAGATGGTTGCACTTTGAAGGCAGTGCCACCACCAGAACACAGAGAAGGAAGCGTGGCAATAAAAGCCAAGGGTGAGCGGTGTTGTATTAGTTGATATTTGATACTTTGAAGGCACATGGTGTGATTTATGGTCAGAGGTAAGGGGGTTTATTACAGGTAAGTATTGAGCTCTGAATGTCCTCACACGAGGTCAGGGTTAAAAGTACACTCACTATTTTCTTTGTAACACTCTTCCTTAAAAAGTGATAAACCTGTCCAGTTTTAGAGAAGTTTTTATCTGTTTCCTGTTTGTGTCACCGTGTGTTTGTGTTGATAGGTGTTCTGTTGCTTAGACTAGGTCTGTGTAAATTGATACCTTTTGGTCTTGGCTCAGCATATACATGTTTTTAACAAAATGTAAGAAACAGAACAGTCTGTTTATTTTAATTGGGAGCTTTAGATAATGTCAAAGGTGTTTAAACAGCAGGAGGTTGCTGCTTCCTCTAAACATGGAGTACACACATATGCCGTACATGCATGTTCACACACTTAACATCCACATATGATTTCATAAACCAAGCATACATACCAGCTAATTGGCACGCTGAAGGAGCTGAACTCTATTAACAGGAACCTTGGAGCCAAGAGTCAGACAGACACACCTCCACTGGGTCTCTCTCTCTCTTTCAGGCATGGCTCTTATTAGGCACCGGCTCCTGCTTTAATGTCCACCGGGCCATATTGAATAGCAACTGGAGTAAATTTATTTTTTTCCACCAGCACAGAATCAAAGGGATTTTTTTTTTCTTTCGGTCTTTTCTTTTCCTTTTTTGGAAGGTAAACTTGACAAAATGGGTATCTGCCTGGGAACTGATGTTTACAGCAAATGAGGCTTTATCTTTCTCCTCTTTTTCTGAGGGGGAGGAGGAGGAGGGGTCAGTGGTTTGCAGATTTAGGTGTACTTGCAGCCACTGGTGTCGCAACACTCCACCAGCAGCCAATTGCTAGTTATAAATCAAAAAGTCAAGACCATTTGGCAGCTTTTTCCTTTAAACCAATACTAATTCATCCTCCTAGATGACTGCTTTGATTGGCAAATAAAGGATTATCTGTATTTCAGAGATTTACAAAATGACGCATAATTTTCAGCATGATTGAGAGGACAAAATTTGGATTACCTAGGAGGTATTTTTAAAAGCAGGGTAGTAAAGCAAATCCATTATGACAAAATTAGTCGCTCAAAACATCAGTTGCACACGCTTTAGATTATAAAGCACCAGGGCTCCAGACTGCGAGTTATCGGTCCCATTTTGCGACCGGATTTATCTCGTGTGCAACTGACTCCTTTTCAAAGGCCGCACTGGGTGCGACTGCAAAATAAACAGGTTATGCGTGAATGACTGCTCTCACTGTAGACATAGTGGACAGACGTAATAATTTCCACGTAACTGTTATTGCAAGGTTTATCAGCAGGTTTGTCATTCGCCCGTCTCACAAAGCAGACTTCAAATCCATCAAATGTGTCGGCCCACACTATGCTGCGCCCTCCTCCCCCGTGCTGTGCTTGACCACTGCCGGCGAGCGCAGCGCATACCACATCCTATTTGAGAGCCCTTTAACTCGTGCATACGCTTCTCACATCTAGTGAAGTTACAATATTGGCTGATACCCATCATAAGGTCCTCCTTTCAGTAGCAGGCTATTTGTAATTTTAACCTAAAAATGAGCTTGCACTAGCCAGGCGAGAAAAGCGAAAACTGGCCTACAAATAAATCAAGTATACAAATGGCAAAGCATGCACACAATTCATTGGTTTATACTCCAGTTAAAGTGTCATCGCCTATTTCTCATCATTAGTGTCATGATTATCATAATGTTGACTGCTAGGCTATAGAGCACTAAAGTGACTACTATAGTACATAAAAGAGGTGGAAACTTGTTCCAGAAGTGATTTTCCCAGTTGTTTTATTTCATAAGTCTCCCTGTCTCTGAATTTCATCATAAATATAGGCTATGCACATTGGATGGTAAGGTTATTTAAAATGATTTGTGAAAAATACAGATTATTTTGTATTATGTTCTAAAACACAGGTGGTGCCACCAGATTTGGCACTGGTGCCATCTTCTAAGAGACTTGGTGGCACCAGTATGGAATATTAGTCTGGAGCCCTGAGCACTTAATATCACTGGACATTACTTGAGATATGGGGACTTAAGACAGAAAGTCGTGTCAAAGGATTCACAGTGTGTCTTTTTGCCTTTGTTGTTGCTGTTTTACTCCCCATGGCTTGCTCACTGACCAGTCAAGTCATGACCCCTGTTACTCACCTTTGCTAACAAGTACATCTATCTTAGATCTGAGGGGCTCCTGCAGAGCCCACCTCCCATCAATTAGAATTAGTTTTTTTCATGGATGTTAGAGTTGAGCATTTGTACTGACCATTTTGAGAAAAGCTCATGGATCCATTGCATATACAGTAGTTGTGCAAAAATTCACTGGTTTCAGCTTTTTTCCATAAGATAATTTGAAGGAAATAAATCACAGGTTAAGGGATAATGAAAGTATTTGTTAACAAACAAACAAGCTAGTACGGGCTCATTGTCTTAGATTAATTCTTTTGCTACTGATAAAATTGGTTGTAGTTTGAATTGAGTTATTTCAGTTAGAGAACAAAAGTAGCAGAACTGCAGCTAACACTTATTTTCATTATTGGTTAAAGCCCCTCTAGCTAAGTTTCACCCTCAAACTCTTGACAATTAGTGGGAGAATCAAAACAAACTCAGGTGGTAACCCTTTGTCTTCTCCCTCTGCTCCTCCTTGCCCCTCCTGTCCTGTCTGTGAAACTACGTCATATGTATTAACTACAGCTGGAGACAGACTAGGACGTCAGGCAGCTCAACAGTATTATTACTAGCTATTACTACCACTGGATTACTAGCTTTCTGACAGACAGGAAGCAGCAGGTGAGCCTGGGGAAAACCACATCCAGCACCCGGACAATAAGCACAGGCGCCAGGGATGTGTGCTCTCCCCTCTGCTGTTTTCACTCTACACCAACGACGGGATCTCGAAGGACCCCTCTGTCAAGCTCCTAAAGTTTGCAGATGATACAACAGTCATTGGTCTCATCCGAGACGGCGACGAGTCAGCCTACAGACGGGAGGTTGAGCAGCTGGTCCTGTGGTGAAGCCGCAACAACCTGGAGCTGAACACGCTCAAAACAGTGGAGCCAATAAAGCAGATTCTGATTGTGATTATTAATGTGTACAGAATAAAGCCCATAGAGGCCTTGGTTTTCAGAGGCATTGCAGGGACAAGTGTAACACAAGCAAATTATACAGAGCAATGTTTTTCCCAGTAATACTGAGACAGTATTAATGTTCCGGCCACTATCACATCGCGTTCATTGTTACATACTTGACACGTAATGTTATAAGGTAACGAGAAATTTCATATTACACTTTGATAGTTGAGCAAACTGCTCACTTTTGTAGATGTGTTGATGGCACAGATTTTCACAACCTCTCACTAAAATGCTACATGGACTGCGTTATGTCTAACATAAACCATGTGGTCTAGACAAAAACTGAGCAAAAACTAGCAAGTCCTGAAGATAGCAGAGTGGGGGGGGGTGTAGTACAACAGTGAGAAAACACTAGACTTTTTTTTTTTACTTGATTTTGTGCTAAATCTTAGTTAATGCAGCTTGAACTAATAGGTTATTAAGTTTATACAAATTCTCACAAAGTCTCTAGAGCTCATCTTCAGATTGCTCTTGTTCAAACAATCCAAAATCCTCAAATATAAATTGTATATAGTTGATTTAAATTACATTATTTATTTATGTAAAATGGAAAACAAGCCTCACTTTGGTTATAATTTATAGACGTTTTGTTTTGTTCACTGACCTAGCAGTCGTTTTGGCAATATACTTTTGTACTCCGTGCAATACAAAGACCATATCGCGTATTGCATTTCTTATTTAAAATTAAGGTTCTGCAGAATGCACACACAGTGGGCTTCTGACCAGCATTAGTTTCAGTACAAGTCACTGGGGGGGATTAATGCAAGACTGACTAAATCATTTAGGGAATAAAACATGGACAAAACTATTTATTACAGTACAGCTTCCCATCTGCAGCTGTGACTGTCCTGTTTCTTGTTCTTTTGGTGCTTTTAATACAGTACATGCACTCCAAATCTTAAAGTGAATCCAGGAACTGAATCATTTTGCTCTTGTGAGTCTGGATAATAATCAGCTCCAATGTAAATGTAGCATACGTCACACAAAGTAAACAGTTAATTGCCCCTGACTTTGACACCCCAAACCCCTTCATGGGCAGAGGTAGGAATGTTGGGGGGGGTGTA